TGCACATCAAACATTGTCAAGAAATATTGTCAACTATCTTTGTACAAGTAGGTTAATTTAATATATAAAATTTGATTTGTTATTTTCAATTAAAAGTACTTTTACTACCACAATTTTTATTTGGGCCTCATCCCATATACAAGAATCTTTTGTCACTTACCGGAAACAATAAGATTTCACAACGAAATATATGTGGGGGAAATTACACCTAGTCATGATTTTTAAATTCCCAATTCAAATATAGATTTGAAAGTTTTTTGTTCAAAAATTAGATAATAATTTGAACTTATTAATGCTATAAAATTAAATTAACCGCCCGCCCCCACAAAACCCTAATTCATCCTTCAAAAACCATTTTTGATTCATTCAAAGTACAAAATGACTACTTTTTGTACAAAAAAAATTCTGAAATTTTCTTGCATTATATATTGGCTTGTACGTATAATCATTTTCACGACTTTAAATATTTAACGCATTATGTGCTTGTTTGACACACGTTAACTTATTTTATGGTTTGCGGCTAGATTATTTTCACCCGGACATTGATACAAGAAAATATTTTACATGTATGACAATTTTTATTTTTTATTTTTTAACCACACATTCTACTACGAATTACTATTCAAAATTAAATTTTTTCTACAATAATGATTTTCAAAAAGGATAGAAATTGCATTAAATATTACTATACCCATATGACCAATGATATAGTAAAGCGTTATGAACAAAATTCAAGGTAGAGGGTGTAAATTGGGGTTGAGTTTGCATAGACTTTCATATCATAGGATAGCCTTCAGCTTGGTCAAAGTCTTGCCAAAAAAAATAAATAAATAAAGCACAAACTCAAAAGTGTTGTAAAAAAAAAAAAAAAATTAAATACTAACTCAAAATTAAGATTTATGTTATGTTTTTTATTATTATTTTTTTCTATTTTGAAGTTAAAACTCTAAATTAAAATTCTTAAAAAAGGAAAAAAAAAATTAAGCGAGTTGGCTTCAGTCGGTTAGCCGGAGTCTTAATCCATTACCAACCCAACCCGATACGAGTTGGTTCGGTTCGATCGATTTTTCGATTTTGTTTGCCCATGGCTTGATAATAGCACAAAATAACAAAAATAAAGACAACTGATTTATACAAAAACTGACTTTTAATTGGCTAAGGTTCAACCTGCTGCAATGCACTGATATGTCTATAATGCGCCTGCCTAGAATCTCAGTAGCATTTTTAATGGAAAAATCTCGACGTACAGGAAATTTTTAAGAAAAATCAGAAGCATATGTTTCATAGTGGGCCCTTCTGCGGTGAAGATTAGCACCATCAATTCTTCTAACCAACTGCTTTGTCCAAACATTAGTCACGGTTCCTTTAAAGAATGAAGCTTCCTGGTAGCCGTATGAATTGCAATGAATTGGTAAATATACAATCTGAATTGCATTCACGTTTCCCTTTCACTAACTAGTGCAATTATCAACTCCCATGTTTGATCTTTGTAAAGTCTCTGCTAGAAGAATTAATGTTGTCTTGTAGTAAGTACAACTCAAGAATGTGTTATAGCTTTATTAATGTCAGATAATCAAAAATAAATAATTAACCCTTTATATATAGGGGTTTACATAGAAAGCTAGTTTAAAAGAACTAAAATTGAAAAGAATTCGAAATAAATTAAATGACAAAAATAAAATAAAAACTAGCAGTTTTCGAGTCCTAAACGAATTCGGATGGCTAAAATCCATTATATGTCACATAAAAGCGGCAAGTCCGTAGTTCTCTTTCCAAATATTTATTAAGGATCCAAATCGGAGTTCAAACGCCAAATCTACAATTAACCGTTTTTATTATTATTTTTTTTTTCATTTTTGGTCCAATTGTTCCTCAATATATTTTATCATCTGATCTACATCAATTTTCTTTCATGGATTTTTTCATGTTTTTTCTTCAATATATTATGTTTTTTTTAAATAGAATAATCGGAAAATCTCTCCTACCGTAGATTGATGTTCTACCCTTGGCATAAATAAATGCAAGATAATGCAATTTTTTGATCAATAGATTTACTGCATAAATATTCCATTTTTAAAATAAATAATTATGTTTATTCCTGATTTACTATATTAAAAAATAATAATAACAAGAAGAAGAGCATATTTTTTTGTATGTTACAAGAAGAAGAAGAAGAAGAATTATTTTTATGTTAAAAAGTGCAATTTATGTTTTCAGTAGCTGACTCATTTGGGAAACCAATCTATTATTGCTCATTTAAATTTTCGATGAATTAAATTGCTCAGTTGAGCTTGTTGACTTTGATACAATATTGAAATTTATAGTTTTACATTAAAAATAACTTCTTAAACGAATAATTCAATTAGAGTTGAAGTGAATGTTCAAACTAAATAAGCTAAGATTTATAGATATATCATAAAGAAAAATGATAACAATAAGATGTGCATGGTTAAATTTTCACAACCATCAATTTAAAGAATATACAAATCCATAATTTGTTTATAGAAAGCTTGTTATTTTCTAATTTGTTTGAACACTTCAAAAAACCAATACCAATTTGTCCAAATGATTTTCATGATTTAAAATTGGAAATGAGTAATATGGAAACGAATAGAAATACAAAACTTCTTTAGAATCGATTGTGAGAATATTTTCACAAGTACAATAATTTTACATCTGAACGAACACAATTTTCTTTGATGAACCGTGGTCAACCATTTCTTACCTTTTTAGATAAGAAAATTACTTATTTCAAAAAGTAAATTTTTATCAATAAAATATTTTGTTCTAATACTCATTTACTTCGAAAATGTGCACAAATAGTTCTCAACCTATAAACCATGTGTGAAACCAGTCCTGATTTCTTTTCCTCGGAAAATTTACACAAATACTCTTTTACTTGGAAAAAGTAACAAGATTGATTAGTGACGAGAAGCACTGCAGGATGCTAACGGGTTTGATTTGAGCACCTTTTGATACTTTTGAGATGTTGAGGGGCCAAAATGAAAATAAATATTAAATTCTATATTTTTATTTATTTGAGCCAAAGAGCTAATTATTGAAAGAAGGGAGAATTAACCTAGCAATATTCGGCTCATTTTGAAGCTTGTATGAAATGGCGAATTATGAATTCAAAAAAAAGCTAATTTTGATAAGCCAAATCGAATTATAGCTCATTAAAGAGAACTAATTGGTGGGTAATTTAATTTTCAAATTAAGACCAAATTACAATATCAATATTGGACTAGTTTTGAACCCCGTACGTAATGGCGTATTATGAACTCGAAAAAAATGATATTTTGATCAAGTCAAACTCAAGCTTCGATCGATAAAAATTACACTTTAACTACTGGCATATCTCGTAACAAAAAGCCTACAGAAAAAACATATTGTTCTATCTATTCTTGAATAAACAAGTTGAAGTTTCGATTTGACCAAAACGGAGAATGATGTTAATCAGCAGGACTTGTTAGAATGATGTTAAACATGCAGGAAAAAAATTAAAAGAAATTTGGGGAGTATAAACCCCTATTTTAGAAAGTTTTAAGTGCTTTTAGTATATTCATTCTTTTTGTATAAAGCACGTATAAGTACTGGTGCATTTATTCAACAATAATATTTTAGGTTTAACAAATTATGATCTGATAGGGTGGACATGAATTTGAGGGAAAAGAAAGGAAGAGAAAGAGGGGGCGGCAGAGTCTTTTTTTCTATCGGTGAGCAGCAGCTAAGTAAATATGGGAGAAGGAGAAAGGGAAAAGGGAAAAGAGAGGAGAGCGTGCGGCGAGATTGAGCTAAATTAGCCTATGTTTGGTAGAAATTAAAATTCATATTTTATGGGATCCATAACTTTTCTATCACACATTTTATCAGCTTTTATTTACTAAAAATCTGTTATTAATCCTTGTCAAATAGGGGCTTAATAATCTGTTATAATTTGATATTGACCGGCCCGAAGTTTTATGATATTGATAAATATGTAATAAATTTCCGGCTGGAAAAGATAAGTAAAAAGTGTTGAATTTTTACGATATTTAAATTTTGTGAAACTTTATGAATTATCAAGTAAACTTTATGAAAACTTTATAAAACCAATTAATCCGATCAAGCATCAAGAACTATTCAAAAGGCACAGCACAGTCGGCTAATTTACCAGACTCAAATGGATATGAAATTTACAAATAAATATTTTTCTTTTTTTCACTTTACATAAAAAGATAAAATATAACCATTATATATATATAATTTAATTAGATAAATCCGACACGTGTCTATGAAAAAAAAAATGCGGCACAAAAAAATGAGAGTAGTCAGGCAGGTTTTGGGAATTTTAGGCCCCTTATTATCTATGCTGATAGGACTAACTTCCAGGGATAAAAAAACAGGTGCTGCTTGGGTGATTTTCCCTTTTTTTTTTAAAGATGTCCAATCCTTGCATAATGCGTGTCTCCCTAGTTTATAAACCTGTCACAAAACTCCGTATTTGTAACAAAGCCATAAAAGGGGAAGGGGTGGGACCAAATTCAAAACAGTACACTGACTTTTTTTTTCTATTAAATAATAGAAAATATTTGTTTTATCATGATATAAATTTTAGGCCCTATTGGGAGTGATTTTTAACCCCCGAAAAATTAATTTTTTGATCTTCATTTCACTGTTCTGGCCGTAATTTTTGACTTTTACTCTCACGGACGACCTCCACTTTTCTCCTAATAGTAAAAAAATCAATTCTCAAAATTACTACCGAACATGTTCTTAGTAACTTTTCTCCGCCATGACTACCGAAAATTAGTTATTTACTATAAAATTTACTTACATAAAAAAGATTTATTTACCTTAAAATTTACTTATGAGTAAATTCTTTAAGCGTAGCCAAGCGTGCGCTTTTGGTACCCCAAACTGCCACCAAAAATAAATAAAATAAAAATAAAAAATCTATCAACTCCAAAGGAATTGGCATAGTCCCTGTTGCAAGCAAACTTTAATAAAATCCAATATAGTGTCAGTCATGTGCATAAAGTTATGGGACCTTCAAATCCCTCTTTTCTATATACTCTATGCTTTACAATTGTACATTTACTATTGCAATTTAAAGCCTCCAATTCCAGCTCTAAAGTTCTGCAAATATGGCAGATGTTTTGGTTCAGTAACTTCAGTTCCAGCTAAATATCATTAACTACTGGTTACTATTTTTGTTGATGATCTGCATGAGTCTGCAGAGGGAGCATGATCACCATTTTGTAGCTGAAGCTTTCTTTTTTCCTCTTTCTATATAATTGTAGTGTTTTCTTGAAAAGGGGCTTAAAGAATTCTGCTAAGGGATTAACTGAGATGGGAATCAGAGGGGAACTAGTTAGAAGTGCGTTCTAGAAAAGCCTCTCTGTACGAACGCGTGACAGTCATGTAAGTTAATTGCATTCAAGTTGTTTGATAATTTAACTCACAGAATGCTGATAGTATATTGTACATATGCCTGGATTTGTTTTGATTTGGTTTGAAATTAGTAACTAAAGTTTGAGTCAGGCTAGGAGTTATGCAGTGGAAAAGAAAAGATGGAGTTCAGTAAGATCATACCTTTGCGGGGATGAGTTTAGTTCAATAGTTGCAGAGGATGATTTATCGAGCTTCACACCTGCAATTGATGAAGGTGAATTTACTTCAGTTTATGCAGAGGCGGATACGGCTTCTATTAGAAGCTCTGAGGCCACTGTCAATCAACCATTGGCAGGAGATTTCAAGGGCCAAGCAGATGCTGAAAGCAATGAGGTGAAGAATGGAAGACCAAAGGAAAAGCAAAACTCAACTCCAACAGTAACGAAACTGGCGTGGGCTGGAGCTGGCTAGAACGATGGATGGTGACTTGTCTGCCAGAAAATACCATGATGGAAGACCAAATGTACAAGGAAATTGAGACAGTTAGTGGTCACCAAACAAACGGGATGAGGAAGAGATTGCTATCTAACGATATCTCTCTGCACATTGAAGTCGGATCTGTAGCTGCACCCAAGGATGTCCCAAGGCCTACCAAGAATAGGATTAACACAACAAGGAATATCTCCAAACGAGATGCAACATCTACCTACCTCTGTCTAAGAGAATCAAAGGTATACATTTAAGCTAAAGCAAAAATTGTCCAAAGAAACAAGTGAAATTACATTTTAA